GTTCTTTATTAATACAATACTTAAGCAGTTAGATATATTATCAAAATATTTACTGACAATGTGCGAAAGTAATAAGTATTTTTCTTGTATCGACAATTAATTATGAAACCAAATATATATGAATAGCGCCAACATGGTGTCCAAATTTCATTTATCTGCAGTGCTCAATAAAAATCTGGCACGTGATTTGCTTTCATGCGCCACTACCAGTGTCTAAATGCGTCATTTATGGCTTTTGCTGACGGCTCGGCATCTCTGCACTTGCTTTCTCGTAGCAGCACAGCCCGTCAGCCCATGCTGCCGGCAGCAAAGAGGTGACGTCATGTTGCATGTGCAACATAACGTCATCAATTTTTCAGCCAATAGTGTGAGTGATTCTCGGCTGACAACAGCACAGCAGCTGAATGTGTACAGGCCTTATGTGATTATGCCAATAATATTTAAAATGAAAAGGAAAATCAATCGTACCCACTTTTTTCAAATAGTGCATTTTGTTTGCATTGGTGGTTGCAAATATTCATTGCATCAGCGGTTTATGCCATTTTTTGCAGTGTTATAAGAGTTCTTAGGTTTACGGCATATATTGCGCAGGTGATTCGCTTCCTACGCAGGGCACTGAAACTCGTGGTGTGTGTATTTTGCGTGGTATTTTGTATTGACTAATGACTTGTGTATTGGTATTGGTTGGTATTCCTCCTGGTATTCAATCTGTATCTTTAAATAACCACAGCGCAAGTGCCTACTTTTTGACTTACCGCTTTTCCTCTGGTATAGTGATTTGATTTCTTTCCTCTTTAGGGAAGGAGCAGTAGGTTGAGGTATGTCAATTTTTGCTGTAAGTGTATTTTATCAATGCTTCCTAAATCAGTGGTTTTTCATTGTCAAAACGATTTATTGTAACTTCGTAATGCCACCAATTTCTTTTTAAGTCACTTTTCAAATTTCCCTTTTGTATTTCTGTTGTCACAGAGCTGGAGAGCTACCAAGTGTAGCGGCAGACCGCAGAACACCTTCAATTAAGGGGCACTGCCGACTTTTGGTCCCATTCTTTCAATGCAACGCCCATAGGGCTAATGTTAAAATGCCAAAATCAAAGGGGGCACCGGTGCCCTCCCCGTTCCACCGCGCATGGCTGCCAACATGGTTAAGGTCAGGCCTGGTTAAAAGGAGCCCGCCAAGTGCTTGTAGCCTGTAAGGACACCTCAATGTCTTACACTGCTTTGTTATAAGACAGAAAGAGAAGTAGATGGGAAATAGGAACTGTTGAGTCTTTTTCACCTGCAATGCCAATACATTGTTTTGAAACATGGACTTCATGAGTCCTAAAAGGCTAAAACCAGAATAACTCAATGTACCATAGAAAGTTACATTGGGTACCTTTTTTTGTTCAAGCAATTTAGATTGGCACCCAACGGCCAACCACCCATCTTCCTTGCAATTTCCCCCACAAAAGCCAGATGTGTTGGTGAATCAAATATCAATTTAATAGTTTTTCATCTTTTGTTTACCCTATAAGTTTTATGATTGTGATGTAATTTTAATTGACAATTGGCAAAACTGTAGGCAGCTTCTGACCACCATGCTTGTATGGCCATGGAGGCATGGAGTCAAATTAGAATATGCCAAATGCAAAGTGTAATTACACTAATTGACACTGGCACTGCTCAGGGCCTGCTGCTCATTTCATGCAATTCTACATTTCATTTTCAAAAGTTACATGTATGTGTTGATTTCTGTGTTTGCAGTTTTTTATAGCTACCAAAAACTTAGAATCCCTGTTTATACCCTTGTCTCAAGTAACCTCAATTGTATTTTCCCATTTGTTCCCAGAAGTACATACATTGGCCTGCCACCATGCTCTGACCAGTGAGCTGCGTCTGGCTCGTTAGGTCTAAACACCAGGCACAGCTGCAGCGGGTCGTCGGTACTCGGTAGTCCTGCCAGGTTCATCAGAGGCTTCAACTGCTACTGCCTCAGTGGCTTCAACTACCCCTCGCTCGGCGTCTGAGGGGTCTGCTGCCGCCGGCCGCGGACCGCCCCACGCCGGGTGGCCATGTCGCTCTGCCGTCTGACCCGGCTGCGGCCGCGCCTGCCGCCCTGCCGCCGGCTCTCCGGGGACGGCGGCGGTCGGGACGCGCCGCCGCCGGAGCCGCTCCCCTCGCTGCTGGAGCCCACGCACCCGGCCGACGACCGGCAGTGGAGCGACGCGGCGCTGTACCCGGAGGGCTCGCGCGGCCGCCAGAGCCAGGCGCGGCGCTCGGCGCGGCCGGCGGTGGACCCGCGGCACACCTCGGTGCTGCTGTTCCCCGGCCAGGGCGCGCAGCGGGTGGGCATGACCGACCGCCTGCTGCCCTTCCCCCTCGTGGCCGACATGTTCGCCGAGGCCAGCGACATCCTCGGGTACGACCTGCTGGAGCTGTGCCGGCGCGGCCCGGCGCCGCGGCTGGACCGCACCGAGCACGCCCAGCCGGCGCTGCTGGTCACCTCGCTGGCGGCCGTCGAGCGGCTCAGAGACGAGCGGCCGCGCGCCGTCGACTCCTGCATGGCCGCCGCCGGGTTCAGCGTCGGCGAACTGGCCGCGCTCACCTTCTCTGGCGCGCTGTCGTTCTCGGCGGCCGTGCGGCTGGCGCACGTGCGCGGCCGAGCCATGCAGCTGGCCTCGGAGCTGGCGCCGTCGGGCATGATGACGGTGCTGTGCCGGCCGGACGCGCGGCTCGGCTTCGCCTGCTCGTTGGCTCGCCGCTGGTGCGAGGAGCGCGGCCTGGAGGCGCCCCAGTGCGCGGTCGCCTCGTTCCTGTTCCCGCAGTGTAAGGTGGTGGCCGGCCACGTCGAGGCGCTGGACTTTATCGCCGAGCGGGCGGCGGAGTTCGGTCTGCGCCGGTGCACGCGGCTGCGCGTCTCCGGCGCGTTCCACACGCCGCTGATGGCGCCGGCGGCCGAGCCGCTGCGAGCCGCGCTGGCCGACACCCGGATCTCGGCGCCGCGGGTGCCCGTGTACAGTAACGTGGACGGCCGCCAGTACCGGTCGGCCGAGCACGTGCGCCGCCGGCTGGTCGAACAGCTCACCAAGCCGGTCAAGTGGGAGCAGACCATGCACGTGCTGTACGAACGCTCGCCCGGCGTGCCGTTCCCTGACACGTACGAGTGCGGACCCGGCGACACGCTCACAGCAATACTGAAGAAGGTCAACGCCAAAGCGGCGGACTCGTGCAACAGTGTCGAGGTGTAGCTGCGGCGGTGGCCGCCAGGGGCGCTGAGGTAGTGCCAGTTCTGACTGCCGCCGTCAGGGGCGCTGAGGTAGCGGCAGTACAAGTTCCTACGGCGGCCGCCAGAGGCGTTGTGATTCGCTCGTGCGGTAATGGTCGGATGGTGAGCTTTGTTGTTGATTTTGATGAACATAGTGACGTGTGAATTGTAATAGAATCGCTCCAAACACTGATTTTTATATTAGAGTATAGCGCACGGGTACCGGCTTCCGGCTGTGAGGACTGCAGCACCCCACGCTGTGGACCGAAGCAACACCTCAGGCTGTATGTCGCTCCCAAGTAATTGAATCGATAAAATCGTGGACAGGACGACAGTTAAGTAAACTTTCTCTCAATACCGTTCATACAAATCTCCATTCGTTTGTCTTTCTATTTTCATTAGTTACCTTGTTTTCTCACTTCCCCTTTCAGACTGCACACTGTTCAGTGTCACCTTAACCCGCGCCCCGTTGGGCTCTGCCGAGCAACGCGCCCCGTTGGGGGGGGGGGGGCATTTTGGCCCCCCCCCCCCCCTAAGATCTCGAGAACCACGCAACATAGCGACAAGCGGTAAACGGTGTTTGATAGTCCCAACGGGGAACTACCTTGTGACCCAATTTTATTGACCTAGGTCAAGCCGATGACGTCACAGGTCAGGTCAAAGGTCCAATTTTTCACCATTTACAGGCATTTCAAGAAATGCGTTGTACAATCGAGTAAAATGCATTTCATTGAAAATCATCGATGGGGAAATGTTCTTCAAACACATATTTTGCTATTTGAGATCACTGATACCAGGTCAGGTCACAGAGGTCAGGTCACGGGGGGTCGCAATATGAAAGTGTCGTGTGATACATGTTTTATGGTCCATTCTACATGACAAATGCGATTATGTGGGTCAGGCAGCCTTTGGGGCCAGCTTAGGTTACGTTTTGGTCAAGGTCAGGTCAAGGTCAGGTCAAATTAGGTCAAATTTCAAAGTTAATATTTTTGCATAAAATGGGTATCGAATCGATGCAGCTCGTCACGGCGAGTTCAATGGTGGTCTTTGTTTTGCCCTACGTGGTCTAGAATCGCTAAAAATTGAGTTCAAAAATTTGACGTCATCATTTTTGAAGTTTTTTTTCGCTATAACTTGGCCAAAAAACGAGATATCGATCTGAAATTTGGTATGTATATAGAAGAGCGCTAGGACTATAACATATATTTCGGGTTTTTTTCGAAATTCGTAAAAATTTTGGATTTTTTTGTTTTTCTAAAAAAATCAATTTTTTGATTTTTTTTTTTGTCAAAAACCAAAAATTTTGAAAACCCGAGATAGCAGTTTTGTAGCGCCACTTTTTGTCTACTAGACCATATAAAGAACTTTGAAATTGATTGATAACTGTAGATTTGGTGAGCGTTTCAAGATTGCATGTTTTTTGCTCATTTTTGCTGGAACATGACCTCAGTTTGACCTCAATAACTCCTGACCTAAGGTGACCTAAGACTTGAAATTTGGTGTGAAGGTGTCAAATTGATGCCCGGGAAGGTACTGAAAATTTGGCGGCGCTGCGCGCCGCCGTTTTCTTGCTATTGAGGAAAAACCACAGGGGGGCCAAAATGGCCCCCCCCAACGGGGCGAGGGTTAGTGTCTGTTGAGTGTTGTATACACCGCTGACCGCACTGACTTCACAGTTTGCGCGGGTGTGTACCGCTCATCTTCCCACCACCTAACATTGCCCAGCTCCAACGAGTGTCTGTCTGCCCCGGCAGAGTTCCTGCGGATGCTGATCTGAGGCCGCTGGACATGGTGTCCCGCCCACCGCACCATAGGTCATCGTGAGGTCGCTGGTCGTCAGTCGACCAAGCCAGGTCATCGTAACTGATCTGAGGTCGCCAGTCGACCCAGCCGCGCCCAGCTGAGGTCACTATGAGGTTGGGTCAGCGCTGACGGGGGACGGAGAAGTCCTCTTGCCGAGCTGGCCGGAGCACCCAGTTCCCAGTGTTTCTCGCGCGGTGACAAACCGTCCCTGGCGGACTGCCCGGAAAGTGTAACTGTTGTTTGTGTTGCTAGGTGGCAGTGGCGCCGCGCCTCCACCGGGAGCGCAGCTAGTGGCTTAGTCGCTGCATTGTCGAACAAACGCGATGTCTTTCTAGAGGCGTGTTGTGTCCAGGGTCTGCCGGGCGAGGCGTAGCGTAGTGCTCCATGTCTACCGCGGGTCGATCATGGCGCGTCTCCACGGCGACTGTCCGTGTCCCGACTGTGCAGTAGATAGGAAGGTAAACTGTAAACGAAACGTGTGAACCAGGCGCATACAGAGCAGGGCGAGCTACTGCACCGTCCTCGAGCCGGTAATTTACGCCATTATTTTTCGACTGCAGAACTTTGACAAGTCGGCTGAATATGTAGATTTACTGTTTCACTTTACCAACATACATCTCGCAATGAAAAACTCTGCCCTCGTATATCAATATGTGGATTTTATTACGAGCGAGCGAGCGCAGCGAGCGAAGCGAAGTCTTTTCAATATAACGGAAAAATCTCAGTATGAGCGGCCCGGCCCGGCCTGTAACGCTTTTGAGAGGCTTATATCTCAGCAGCCGCTGGACCAATTGGCCTGCGGTCTTTTTTGCTGGGTAGCCCCATCCCTTCTACCCCGTAGGCCGTAATTGACTACTTTTGATACATCTCGGTGACTGTCGTGGCACGTGCCACGTGAAAAGTCAAGGGTGTTCAAGCAGTTTTGCAAAAGTAGTGATTTTGAAAGGCCCGTATCTCAGCAGCGGCTGGAGCGATTATCTTGCGGTCATTTTTATAGGGTAGCTGCATCCCTTCTTCCAAAGGTCGGGTACTCTTGATGTATGTGAGTGACCCCCACTGCACGTGCAAAATACAAAAAGAAGAGGTGCCAAATTTGTTCCCATTTCAGTAACTCTGTAATTACTAAGGCGATTTCGCTGAAACTAGGCATACAGGTAGGCACCCACCAGGCAATGTATTCCCATGTGTTGCGGTTAGAGTGCTACTGCACGTGCGCACGTGCAGGGGGCGTTTCCAGATCTCGAGAACGGCTGGGCCGATTGCGCTCAAATTTGGTACACGGTTGGGGACCGGTTAGTAGGGTGCCGTGCAAAAGTCATTTTGGGCCCCTTTTGCACGTGCGCACGTGCAGAATGCCGCTTCCAGATCTCAGGAACGGCTGGGCCGATTGCGTTCAAATTTGGCACACCGCTAGCGACCGGTTAGAAGGGTGCTTTGCACAAGCCCGTTGGAAGTACCCTCTCGCCCTTCTGAACGTGCAGGGCTCACTATCTCGCTCGCTCGTTCTTCGCCCAAAAAGGCGTTTTACTGGTAAGTATTCAATTGTGTAAAATGTATAACGAAATTTCCTTAGGAAAATGAGTAAGACATCCCGTCGCTTTGTTTCTCATAATTACTGATGGCCTGTTCCGGTATTTTACGTGCCCGCGCCGCCAATCACCATGTTACCAATAATGATGGCAATGTCTCACGTTCCCGGTCGAATGTTGTGGAACGCCACCGGTGTACCGTAAGATGGTGTCATAAGAAACTGGTGCAGGAGCTGCTGGGTGATGCGCCAAGCACCGATACGGCGTGTTTGGACCACAGCGTCCCATCATCTCCGTGTGATGCAGTGTGTGTGGGAGAGCGAGACTCGACAATATATACCGCCAGTCCGTGATGTTCCTGTGGTGAGCCCTGTCAAGTGGCTCACCAAACGCCCCACATCCGGTGAACGCTCTCGCACAGCCCGAGTTCACGGTACAAAAGGCGTGTATTACATCCACAGTGCGTTTATTTGCCAAACTCCTTCATGGACAGACCTGAAACAAAGGGAAACAACAGGTCAGACAGACGCCTAATGGGCATGATCGTGAGGCATAAACACACAATCATTTGCAACATGCAGCGCACCTGGCCACCCGGGAAACAGCCGAAAAACGATGCACCAGCCATATCGCTTCAGTTTCCACGGAGTGTTAGAACTTTAAGAAGGCCTTCAGTTCTGCATACCGCTGCTACTCACTAGGCTTTGAATCTTTTGTTCGAAGGCGAAATTACCACGTGGCCAGCGTCTTGCACATTTGAATGAAGTCACCATTTCCATGGTGTTTTCTAGTCGATTTATAACGTCGAAAACGAATGCCATTATTTTCCTACGCAAAATGTCAAGCGAAGCGTTTTAGCGGGCGAGAACGAACTAGCCACGAGGAACCTAGCAGGTTTATCGTAAACAAACATAAAAAGACTAGCAGCCGAACCTGCCATCACAAGTAAAGTGATACCAACTTTTTATCAAACTAAAAATGAGACAAGACTCAACGATCACTCATTCACTGCCATCGAAGCATGCAATGTAGCACAAAACACGTTCTTACATCACGTTGGTAATGCACGCTCAGGAGCCAACACACCAGCTGTACTGAGATCCCGTAAACCTGCGCCAATCAGGCCCTGTTTCACGGCATGACGCTACCGGTATCGTAGTATCCTGTATCGGGCGTCCATGTCCATGTACACATCAACCAACTCTGACACTCTACCATGTTACAGCGTCCGAGTTTGTTTATATTTCCGCAGAAAGTAGAAACCCGATTCTACGATACCACTAGCGTCCGGTAGTGTCATACGCTGAAACAGGGCCTCTCGGGCACACACCATCTGCCGTCACTCACCGGGTGGCAGGCTCTGCTTCAGCTTCTCGGCCTTCTCCTTGTCCGTGATGACCAGCGTGTAGAGGAAGCGGCTACAGCGCACTTTGAACTTGGTGTTTTCAGAGTTCTTCTTGATCCGCACCGACTTGGCGTCGGGCCGCCGGCACGTCAGCAGAAAGTCCTTGATCTCCTTAATTTGACGCGGCTGCGGGCGAGCGGCGGGAGACGGGCGGGTCAGTGAGGTGACGGCGGGGAAGTGGAATAGGGTCAGGCTGGCGACCGTTGGGTCAGTCAAGTGGCGGCGGTCGGAACAGCGCAGACATCACACAAAGCGTTGCCAAACATCAGTGTGGAGACGACTATGCGCGATCCCCCATGAAATCGCACACCTATTGCGTATTATCAGATGTTCAGTTTTGTGTGAAATCGGTACGCAAAATACCCAGCACACGTTCAGCAGCTAGGAAATACGCTACGTCGGCAACGATCCAGGTCACGCACGTTCAGCCATGCAAGTCATAAGTGGCACGATGTTCAGTCAAGGAACACCAGGATAGCTTGTCTGGGCTGCAGAATTCAAATAAGTGGAAGTCACCAAAATCTTACAGACTTGACTCTGGAGTGGGCTGTCATGCTCTACTCCACACCTGTTCCATTCGAAATATTGTGGTTGTTAGCCTGCCATCACTTCTGGACGAGGATTTTGAGCAACAGCAGCTGTGCCAGACCAAACTAATGCCAGTTATTACTTATTCATAATGTATTTTTTTGTAAAGTGAGGCCTTGCAATATGCAAGGGTTTGTCTCAGGCCAGATACAAACGTTTGAAACATGAGCTTTGTGATCATGATGCCAAATTTAGTCACCAAAATCAATGTCTCTGTAGGATTAGTGAGGACTACCAGTTAATATTTGTTTCAGAGTTCCTTTTTTAAGCAGTATTTGTCATTCAAAAGCCATGACAATTGTTTGCACATTTATAACAATGTGAACTTAACAAATGTTCACAGACCATTTTTCATTAGATTAGATGGCCTATTCAATCAGGTAGTCACTTAGCAGGCATCACACTTGTTTTTGCAACCAAGGAGAGGTGCTACACCCAGCGATGTAGGTTGTAGCTTTGTAGGTTTAAGGTTATGTGTTGCAGATTAGGTTAGGTTAGAATTGGTCAGATAAGGTAAGATAAGAATTACCTTGGTCTGGTTAGAAAGAAGCATCTCTGGGTATAGCGCCTCTCCTTGGTTATAAAATCTAGTGTGGTCCACTTTTATATTAAACTTAGCTCGAATGTTTGAATGGTTGGATTGACAGAGCCGGAGCCCACGCTAAGCGGAGCTTGTTGCGTAGACCCCGACCCCTACCGTCCGATCGCGCAATTCCGGGTAACGGGAGAATTTAGATGCTTAAAGGAAAAGGGCCACCTTCGTGAAATATGAAGATATCGTTGTTTTTCATTTTGACATTATTATTTTTCATTTTCTTTTTAAAACTGGTGCCAGAAGTGCACAATTCGCGAAAAAGTATTTAAAACTATTTAACATATTGGTACTATGTTGGTACTCTCTACGGCACCTACTGTATGATGGCATAGCGATGTCACACTCAAGCCAATCAGCGTTCAGAAGACAGACTCGTCGGATTGTGTCAGATAAGCTGATTGGTTAAAGCTGAGCTGATTGGTAAAAAACCAAAGCCTCGCCGCGGGTGGCTGTATTACAGGGTAAGGACGCATTCTTCTTTTAAAATTGCCGATATCTACGAATGGAAGCCGAAATCGGCCGTAAGGAGATAGACTGGAGGGTCTTCGGACACGGGCTACAAGATGGCTATCTCAGTTTCAATCCCCATGTTAAAGGTGGCCCTTTTCCTGTAAAGGGACTATCCCACCTTTACCATGGGGTTTGAGTTGAGATAGCCAAGTTTGCGGCGAGGTTCAGAAACCACTATCTATCTAGGTTGCAACCCCCGCGGCCTCTTGGTGTTGAAGAAATTCGTTCCCTTCATTTGAAAATGGGCCTTGTACAAGGCCCTATCTTCAACATGGAGCGACTGTTAGTGTGACGTCACCTCGTTTAGTCATTCTGATTTAAATGGGTTTGTTCGTTGAAAAATCGCTTTAAACTTGGTCTGAACTTTGTTGTGGTGCCTACAGAGTAAAAAGAATCAGCTTTATGACAGTAACGTGGCCTGGGGAAGGAGGTAATTTTGGGCTGTGACGTCACATATTTGAAAGTTTGTGTTTGGAATATGGGAAGCCTAAGATGTTTAATGAAAAATAAATGCCAGAACCGTGTTCCCGGTCATCCCATCTATAAAGTCGGGCACAATTTAACTGGTTTTAACAACATTTTAGAAGGTGGGATAGTCCCTAAGTTAAATGTGCCATTCAAAGCCAGACACGACCTGTCCCACTCAACTGACTTCCACTAGTTGCGGCTGCTACCACCAACCACACTCACTACCTAGAGTCCAATGCTCTACCAACTGAGCTACAGGACAGGCTTACTTTGTGGGATTACTTCATACTACCTTCAATTTTTAATAACAAAGAATGTAATAGAACACATTTTGGTAATAGAAGACAGGAATGAAGCTGGCTTAGAATTTAGATCCAATGCAATAAGCCAACCAAGTCAGACAAAACCAGTCGGGCGCACTGTGGTAATTCCGGTCCATTTATAGAAACGGTGCTATATTTGGAAACGTTTCCAAATATAGAAACGCTGCATTCCATAAATGGAAATGCTCAGAAGCACCGATCATTCCGGACGATTTATTTTAAAACAAGATGCGTTATATAACTTTCTAGATGGTGGAATGCCATCTAGTGGCAACAAGGAAGCACTCGGGTGAAAATGACACGTCAATTTCGCCAAAACTTAAAACATCTATTTAGCCCAAATTAGCCAATATTCTGCCAAAAATCAGCCCAAATCAGGTTCTGGACGTCATATTTGAAGGGAAACCTCAATGGAAGTTTTTCTCTTATTCGCAATTTCTTATACATTTTACACAAACCGAAAATCAAATTGTCGTCATTACCATGGCCCACCATGGATTTCTTCGGGCCTCCTTGCGATTATAAACTCAAATGTTGGCTTGTCACTGGTGGTAACCGTTTTGTGCGAGATTTCGCCAGAGCTTGCGAAGATCGTCAAACAGGTGAGGTGAGCATGCACCTACCAAATATAGAAACGCAGCGTTTCCATATTCGGAACATTGTTTCCAAATATAGAAACATTTCTATATATGGAACGGAATTACCAATTGTGCCCGACTGAAACAGGCAAGCACATAAAGATCCCATCCTAAAAGCAATTAAAAAAGAGCTACTTGACTCACCATTTTGTTACTGCTGTACAGGTATCACCTGAAATGCAGAAGAAATTGCATGAAGAGGCAAGTCAACAGCAATGACATTGATGACACAGCACTAGTGTAAGCAATATAACCAGAGAACTCCCACTATGACTAGACACAGTACATGCAACCTAAAATCAATCAGGACAGAGAAGAATTAGGATTGTGCCACAAATGACTTTACTTCAGTAAAGTTGTGATGCTCAGGCCACTAAATGAACACTACTTTAACATCAGCTGCAGACGTACCGTAAAACGGGGCTATAAGGGACAGGTTTTGACTTTGACAACCTGTCATTCAAAGGTTATTGCTTACACAGGCTTCAAACTTTGTCACTTTTCAGGTCTTGACTAGGTCTGTCTTTTGGCATAATATGCATTTTATTGGTATCATAGATGTATGATTTTTTTTATTTTTGTTGCTTGTCCCTTATAGCCCCGCACCGGGGTTTTAAGGGACGAGCACTGTTATGGCCTTTTAAACTCTAGTAGCACCATCAAATGGGCTTTAAGGGACACAGACTATGTTTTTAAAAATGTTTACTGCTTTCCTGTGCAAAATATTTGTTTTTTAAGTGCACATACAATGGATTGGCATCCATCAAAGTTTCCAATGGAGGACGGAAAAGGTAACTTCCTAATTCAACATAAATACCATAAAGGAAACTCAAATATGGAAACATAATAATGTGTTATTATCAAAACACAAATGATATGAGTACAACCACTTGATAATGAGGCATTCTCCTGTCATTCTGAACTCCAGAACACCATCCACCAGAAGACTGCAGAGAGTCTCTGGCAGCTCCTTGGAGCTGGAGGTGTTTGATATCAGCTCACTCATTGTATTCCTTGACCTCTTTGATTTCCATGATTCCCCTGGTAAGGTATTTGGGTTCTTGGATCTTTTGCACAATGTCTGAGAAGGGGTACACCACAGGACATCCTCTGTCCTCTCCAAGGAATGTGGGATGGCCCGGTTTTCAGGTAGCAGGTGCCTTATTGTGCCTACATGACACTTTTTGGGATCCCAAACTTCTGCTCAGCTACCCTGAAAGGCATCCCTCTGTTCACTGCATCCACATCTTTCATGATTACATCTTTCGAATATGTTTTCGTTGTTTTAACTCCTCGCTTTGACTGGTAATGACGGTGTCCCTTAAAGCCCCGTTTTGACATCAAAATCTACCTGAAACAGAAAAAAGCGGAAATGAGGATGAGGCAAGGAGGGTACATGGATGTAATTTCATGGGCATCTTCAGGATACATGTGGTCATTGACTATACCTTTGTGAAGGTCCCAGAATCCGTGGTTGTGTTTCCACAAGCAAAGTTTTCGGGGTTACAATTTTGTTGCGAATTTGGCACTTTTTTCAAAAGCTCATAGCATGAGAACAACAACAAGCATCTTGGAAATGGTGATGTGGCATGCATGTCCAGACATCAGTGTTTCATATTATATATCAATATCTATTTCCTTTTGTTTCTCGTTCACTGTATTACCCAGATCCCTCAAAACTTTTTCCAGAAATTTGTCCCCTATAACCCCACTGTCCCTTATAGCCCCGTTTTACGGTACAGGCGTTTTACTCGGAACATCAATAACAAGTGCTATTGTGTTACTAAACCGGCGCATGAAACAATGGACAGGTTGACGAAAACCCAATGTAGAATAGAAGAATAGACCTAATGATGATTTGAAGAAAAAGTTCAGCTAACAATTTCACAGAACTTAGCAATAATAACAAAAACGTACAGATAATCAGTGAAATAATTACGTAAACACCAACCTGCAGTGCGCCACAATCAAGCGACACCGGGGAAAGGACGATGCTACACCGTTGCCAAATATTCTTGGAAAATATTTTAGAAATGTAAATCTGTTTCGTACATATTTGCTGATTGTGATTAAATGTCTCGAATCCTAGAAAATAATTCAATTCAAAGAATCATAAGCAATTGAGCAACATAAGTTTATATAAGTATAAGTAAATTCGTAATAATGCATTCTTCTTTGCGCGCGAGTTACAAATTCAACGCATACGCCAAAAGTAAACAAAGCTAAACAACAAGAGTGGACGACGCGGAGGTGCGGTGCTGTGCAAGTTCAAGTTGGGTGCCAAATGCCAGCAATAGCATTATAGAGTTGAGTGGGTGCAAGGTAGTATAGTGCGGTGACTGATATTGCAGCCAGGGCATGCATCATTGAGGGTCATGGAAGTTCGGTAACGATTCTTCTCAGCCGAAGTTCAATATGTGCGGTGTTTGATATCAATATGTAATGATAGGATTAAACTCAAGACTATTGATTTTAATAGATGGCTCGCCAAATATACACCCTTCAAGAGCCTGACTCCACCATTCAGAAATTACACAGGTTGGTAAAATGTGTCCCAACCCCCAGTGTGCAATAATTTATCTAGTTGCCATGAAATGAAGGGAGATTTCGCTAGCCAAATCAATACAATTGTAATCGTTAAAGACTCTCCCTCCCTGATATAGCTTATGTGGCACTTTGGAATAGGATATTTTAATTTTATGCTGAAACTAAAACTGTTAAACATTGTTTGGATGGTCCAACAAGCAACGCAACAAGCTTCGCTTAGTGTGGGCTCTGTCCTTGTGAATCCTTCCAATCAAAAGAATTCAGACTAAATTAAAGAATTATGTGGTGGCATGTCATTCATATGGATATAGCAAGTCACAGTAAAGTAAGTCTAGGTTCAAACATTCAGAATTACCCTTACCGGATGAATTTCATCTCACTTTTCTCCTTACAGACCTGCACCTGCCCCTCACTCCTCATCAGGCCCTCAGGCTCAGACTATCGTGATATCCCCCCTCCTGCCCAGGACACCTGCACACTGTATATACAGACCTTGTCTGCCTTCTGCCCCAGCTATCACCTGACCCCTCTCCGCCCTCAGTCTGTCCCCTGACGCCCCCCCCCCCCCCCAGGGCAGGTCTGGTGCAGGTGCGGGACGTTCTCCGACTCACCCCGGATCAGCTGGCTACCGAGGCGCACCTCAGCCCCTCTGAGGCGGCCGGCCTGCAGCAGAGAGCCGGCCGGCGGCCCGCCCTGACCCAGGGCCGGCCCCGCCCACCCGCCGGTCACGTGGTCACCTTCAGCCGCCGGCTGGATGCGCTGCTCGGAGGCGGTCTGCCGCTGGGACGGATCACCGAGCTGGTGGCGCCGCCAGGCGGCGGGAAAACGCAACTCTGCTTACAGGTGAGTGGTGCAGGTGGCACTTTGTGCTGTGAGTGAGTAGAGTCGCGCCGGGACTTCCATCGCAGCATGTTATTGGTCGAGACGAGAGGGGGCGTATTCTTACTCACCTGTCCGACTCGGTCTACTCGTCTCGGCCGTCTGACTCGTTTGACTCGACTGGCCCGTCTGACTGCGGCGACTCGACTGGCCCGTCGAGTCGGTCATGCGGCTTCCTGCAGTGAGCGGTGGTCTAGAGTTCGTAATACCCTAGAGTTCGTAATGTAAAACACTAGCAGAAAGGTCTTTCGGGTCATTTCATATTTCAGGTCAAAAGACAGGTCACTGGAAGACAAAATGTCATTCTTCCCAATCTTGATATTATTGGTCACATTGGCACATCACTCGTGAACTAATAAAACGGGCACATCTCGCCAAAGTGCTCGGTACTCGGTGCTTGCTCTTTTGAAGCTATCGAATTGATCTAAGGTCTACGATTTAGCATCCATCGCGAGAATGCCTTCTGAGAAGACCTTTCTGGAGTGGTGGGTTAGGGCGCCCTTTCGGTCTAACGAGAGTCCGAGACCATTTCAGACCCAGATGGGTGAAAAGAATTAGGGAGAGACATTGGTCTGGGCGGGCACCCTGGTGACCCGTCGGGGCTGAGCCCATCCAATGGACGGGCCACCCAGCCCCCTAACGGTCACCGCAACCGGCTACGGGCCTACTCCTGGGGTTGAGCTACCCGTATGGGATGTAGTTGCCCGTACAGCCTGGAACAGGGAAAAGAGGCGTGGAGGCGAAGGATTTGTCTGTCCTGAGGATGGAAAATCAGGGAACGGTTTGTCTATTTTGTCCGTTTTGTGTGTAGTGTCTCTAACAGGCGCAGTTCGACGCTGTCGAGTGGATGTCAAAAAACATCGATTCTGGTCGCTTGATACCGATCACAGCTCTGGACCTCAGCAAAGCATTCGACAGCGTCGATCATGGCGTCCTCCTCAGTAAGATGGGTTGGTATGGCATTCCATCACATTGGTTTGCCAGCTACCTCGGAGACCGGAAGCAGATGGTTCGTGGCGGTACTTCAGTGCTGCCCGTATCCTGTGGGGTCCCCCAAGGATCCATCCTGGGTCCTGTTCTCTTCTGTCTTTTAGTTAACGAAGCTCAAAATTTTCTTCCCCATGGACGGCTCATCAGCTATGCCGATGACACCCAGTTGTTTGACTGTTCTTCAAAGGACAGGGACAGTATGGCATCTCTCAAGAACCGCCTTGAAGAGTCCATCATGTCCATCCAAAAGTGGCTTGCAGTGAACTCGTTGAAAATGAACCCTACAAAAACCGAGTTTACTCTCATAGGCACGAGACAGGCCGTGAGAGAAAACGCAACTTTCTACTTCGAGATGTCTGGCCATCAGTTCAAGCCGTCCGAGCACATCAAGGTTCTAGCCTCTAGGCGTAGTCATCGACCAGTGCCTCAGATGGGACAGTCACGTGACTCGCGTGGTACGCCGATGCACAGCAACCCTTATATCTCTTTACCGGTTCCGTCGCCATTTTTCAACTGCAGCTCTACTCACCATCATTCGTGCTCACGTTTTCAGTCACATTCTGTTCTGCTTACCTGTCTGGGCAAGTGCCTCTGGTGAGCAACGGAAGCGCATACAAAAAGTAATCAATTTCGCGGCCCGTGTGGTGACTGGCACGCGAAAAACTGAGCACATCACCCCTGTCTTGCGGTCTTTGGGCTGGCAGAACATCGAAGGCATGATTTTCGAGCGGGACTGTATCAAGGTGTTTAACGCGCTCAATGACCAGTATGCTCCAAACCGATGCGCAGCATGTTCACGCGGAGACGGGACACGTCGCTTCGTGATACCCGTCTCGCTCGATCAGAGCAGCTCGCGCTGCCAAGGGTACGGCTGAGCACCACTCAACGTGTCTTCTCTTACCGAGCCGCGACAGCGTGGAACACGCTCCCGCCTACTGTAACACAGTGCACTTCGAGAGGGCAGTTCATGGTCAGGTTGGGAGAGGTGCAACAGAGTGGAATTAGTGCTTAGGTGTGTGATATCTGTAGGTATGATTTATCATCGAGTGTTTATCTAGAACGCCTCAGTTTGTCTTATTGTGTGTATGTGCAGTGTGCATTTATTGTATGACGCAAACTTCCGAACAGCTGTGCGCGCACGGATGGAGTTTAATATACCATACCATACCAGTTTCATTTTCTGATAGCACTCTTTGGAGAGGTCACCAAATTCACGTGACCTTAGGTTGCGAATGACTAAAACACGACCTAGCGTTTTTTTTTTTTTTTACGTCTGATCACCCTCATCAACCGCTCAGTGTCAAAACAATGCCGGCGAACTCAGCGAGCGTTTACCTCTTTCTTGCAGTGCTGTTTATTTTCCTGTCCTTGTAATCGGACCTTGATTGGCCTGCGACTGAAATTGTCATATGAATAACATGTGAATAACATGAATAGCACAACATGAATACATGTGCTAAAAAGGGGACATACCGACTGAGCTTCTCCAAAAGCGGCGGTGTTTAGGTATTGACGAAGACCTGAGGTGCGGTGGGAAGACCGTCGCCGCAGACGGTGCGAGGCGACGGGAGACGTCACCGACCGGAGTGTGGACTCGCTGTGTCTGACTCTGACGTTATCTTGCCCATACCATTATACGTCTGTGTTCTATTTTCTGATCAATGTATTACGATGGTAGGTACCACTAAGGGTAAAATGTTCACATCTTAATTTTATTAACATTTTATAACATGAACAACGCTTTGCCACAAATGGGTTACAAATTAATTTGCGTAGCTCACTTGCTATTTTCCTTATGACACTTATTATACTATTTGTATAGCTGCTGTCGTCTGCATAAATGGCAGGGTGACAAGTTGTTAGACCCGTTTACCTAGTTTGGTGTGGTTCGCTCATCGCTGGTTAGTTAAGCTCGTCTTATCCTACCCGGTGAACCCAGTCTACGACTAAAAGCTTTGTACCGATATTGCGTGCCATGCAATTTCACTTAACATTTTATTTTATATGTAAACAATTACAAGCTAACAGGCGGCTCTGCAGTGACCAGCCCCGCTCTATGCATCATGCTGGGCTGTTTTGGTTGCTTCGTATGTCCCGGCTCGAGTCGCTCGACTCATTAAAGCTTGTCTGTGTGTTGAAGTGCTTTTCGATGTTTATATTCTGTCTTTTGTGGGCCCGTATCAGACTTCAGAACATCGTGTTTTCAGAGGAAGTTAAGATAAAAGTGAAAATATCTCGGCCGTGTTGCGCCGATATCTGCGTAAAAGTCGGGGAATGCCGCACATTTAACATATTTTGGCCTAGTTCGTCCTCCTGTTTACGTACGCTCTCCTTTTTACTTTTTACTGTAAAAGAAGGCTTTTGTTACGAGCGAGCGAGCGCAGCGAGCGAAGTGAGTCTTTTCAATATAACGGAAAAATCTCAGTATGAGCGGCCCGGCCCGGCCTGTAACGTTTGTTTGTTTGTTTTGTTGGGTTAGGCCCTTTCGGTCGACAAGACCATTGCAGAGCCGGAAGGATGATAGGAATTAGGGGGAGACATTGGTCTGGGCAGGCACCCTAGAGAGTCGCCGGGGCTGAGCCCGTCCATAGGACAGGCCGACCAGCCCCCCAAGCACTCTCTGCACCCGGCTACGGGGTGCAGCTCCCTCGGGAGCAGCGGTGCCGCTCCAAGGGAGCAGCCCGCATGAGATAAAGATGCCTGTCCAGCCCGGAAGGGGGTTGTGGCGTGGAGGAGAAGGATTTCAGTTTCCTGAGGATAGAAGCACGGATAGGTGAGCCTGTAACGCTTTTGAGAGGCTTATATCTCAGCAACCGCTGGACCGATTGGCCTGCGGTCTTTTTTGCTGGGTAGCCCCATCCCTTCTACCCCGTAATTGACTACTTTTGATGCATCTCAGTGACCGTCGTGGCACGTGCCACGTGAAAAGTCAAGGGTGTTCAAGCTGTTTTGCAAAAGTAGTGATTTTGAGAGGCTCATATCTCAGCAGCCGCTTGGGCGATTGACTTGCGGTAATTTTTATAGGGTAGCTGCATCCTTTCTACCAAAAATAGGATACTCTCGATGCATGTGGGTCACCCCCAGTGCACGTGCAAAATACAACAATAAGAGCTGTCAAATTTGTTCCCATTTTAATAACTCGGTAATTACTGGGGCGATTTTGCTGAAACTTGGCATACAGGTAGGCACCCACCAGGCAATGCATTCCCATGTGTTGCTGTTAGGGTGCTACTGCACGTGCGCACGTGCAGGGGGCGCTTCCAGATCTCGAGAACGGCTGGGCCGATTGCGCTCAAATTTGGTACACGGTTGGAGACCGGTTAGTAGGGTGCCGTGCAAAAGTCAGTTTGGACCCCGTTTGCACGTGCGCACGTGCAGAATGCCGCTTCCAGATCTCAGGAACGGCTGGTAGTAATAAGTTAACCTTGTTTCGTACTGTTTTCGCCCATTCACAAGCATTTCGCCAAAAAGTCACATAATGCCGTTGTACGGACACCGCGCAAAGTTACTGCTGTTGTTTATAGCAGCTGTGGTCTGCTCACACAGTGCACTGTTGTGCTCCCACAGGGAGCAGCAGACACCTGCAGAAAGTGTCAGCTGTTTGGAACGTGCCCGATTCCAGTACACCTGTCCATATGGTTCGGCTTGAGG